CCGACTGACCCATGGATGATCAGACCCAGTTCAGCTGTGGGATCCTCCTCCAATTTATGCCTTGTTTCTCCCATGATTAGTAATAACCGTGACCTTTATTTGAGAATGGTTGGACGATATTTTTCACTCTGATCTCCCCCCAGATAGCCATGAGATGATGCCCAGTCTCCAGGAGGAGAGAAATAACAAGAAAAAAAATGAAAGAAAAAGCTTGGGCACCCATCACACAATATGAAATTGCAGAGGTCAGAAGAGAGAGAGAGCACATGAAAGAAAATATGGACTTCCTCTGCCCCACACCTTTCAATCCCAGGGCATATTTACTTCGAAGTAACTCCCATATCTACTGTAATCCGTAGGTTTTTTCAATCCAGCCAGATATTTGCCATTTTTTAATTGTACCAATGATTTGAGGCTCTGTTAACTATCCTCAAGGAGGGAAACAAAGAGGAGATGACGGTAAATGAAACAATTCTTTCATGGAAACTAATTGACAGGATTTGGCATGCCAAAGTACCCTATTATTGGTATCAGGAGTGTTGGAATTGGTCAGTAGTAGTAGTAGTAGTAATAGAATTAGTAATAGTAATAGTAGTAGTAGTAGCAGTAGTAGCAGTAGTAGTAATAGTAATAGTAATAGTAATAGTAATAGTAATAGTAATAGTAGTCAATGTTTTTATAATTTTTATTGACTATGTCTTCTGATATTTTTTAAATAATAATAATATAAATTTAGAACTGCAGAGCTGGAAGGGATGCTATGGATCATCAAGTCCAGCCCCATCAGAGAAGCACAGTAGTACAATTGGACAATAAATCTTATGCCCTATAGATGTCAACCAGATAAGAGTATGTTAACTCAGCAATTTCAATAAAAAGATTTAGTAAAAATTTACATATTTTAAAGACCTCAGTCTAAGTTTTTTTTTTCAAACGACCTGATGAAAAAGAATTTTGTTGCTATGAAATTATCCCGTTATTAGACAAAAAAACCTGATTTCTGCCCCCCACCAAAGTATCAGAGCTGGAATGAATACTTTGGGGGGGGAAATTACAAGTGTGCCATTATTTTGCAATCTTCCCAGATTAAAATTTGGAAGAACTAAACTCTTTCTTGATTAACTGACATAACAGATTATACCAATTTAAATTTGCTATCTAGATAAAGTAGCAAAACCACAATTCTGTAGGAAGTCCCTTAAGCTAAGCACAAGCTACGTCTGAGTATACCAGTTTAGGAGGGTTGTAAATCTATCCTTCTGGTGGGCAGGTACGTATATGGACTGACACCATTCTATATATAGAATTAAAAATGTATTATTTATAAAGCATGTCTTCTAAAGCACCCATATGGCAGAGGTACCCACATGTTTTGAGAGCCCTATATATATTTTTTGTCGTGTACGCAAGTCCTCATGATAAACAAAGCGGGAATTCACAGTAAATACCTCTCTGTTCAAAACAGTATTTCACAGAATTGGAAAAAGATGAGAAAGTGACAACCAAAATAATCCAGATTTTAGTAGTCTTTCTCTACTGAAAGGTTTAGGAACTTTCTAGTTTTGAAGAGAGCTGATTACATGGTGGATTATATGTCTTTTTAAGGAAAATATGTATAGCATAAAGAAAGTGCATAGACCCTAGAGCTGTCTTTGTTCCTCACTCATCATATTAAAACTCAAGGGTCATCCAATGAAATTGATGAGCAACTGTTTCAGAACAGATAAAACCTGACCTGTTTCGCACAACAAGGTCAGTAATTTTTAATGTTCACCACCCTTCCTTAATTTTGGACACTGGATTTAGATGATCTGAAATGGGCCATTTTCCATATTCACCAAGAATTTGGCAGCTCTTAGTCATGATGGATAAATAAAGCTTCCACGTCCCAAAGCACTGTACCTCGGTGTAACATTTGTCAAGGTCTAAGGGACAACTGAGAAGGCCTGTTTCTTTTACGCCTTGCTTATGATCTTAGAGGTATCTGGTTGGCTGAAATGTAAAGCAAAAGAGAAACATTTCTCTCTTTTTTAAGATTGCATCTCACAAAATCAGCTACCCTGATTTCCCGTTTCCAAATTCACAAAGAAGAAAGGTCTTTTGGCAGTTCTTAATCACAGCCGCTAAATAAAGCCTCCATGTCCCAAAACACTGTATCTTAGAATCACATTTACCAAGGTTCAAGGGACAAAGGTGAAGGGCTATTCCTAGCCAAAATGCCTATCTAATCTGTATTCTAATGACCCTATCGGGTCCTTTGATAAACCAGATAAATCTCCAAAGACTCACCTCTCCCCACCCCAAACACTTGTAACCTACTAGATCTCTTTTGATATTCTTACAAAATTCAAGACTTGATGTAAATACTGATCTATCCTTTTTTGTGTTTCACTGGCAGAAATTTGGGAGGTTCTGTAACTAGAAAAGCTGTCCTTTCTTTTCTCGTTCTTTTTTTTCTTCTCTCCTACTCTTTTTTAAGATCAAGAAAGAGATAAAAAGAGAAGAGGGGAGACAGAAAGCTAAAACTTCCACTGCCTGCCATCTGATCCTAAACATATTGTCTAAAATCACAGGAATTTGGAGGGCAAGGTCTAATTTGGGATTGAGTTTTAAGTTACAGCCTGAATCGCAATCTTGAATTCCAACAGCTATTTTCTAAAGGTATTGGGGGTAGGGGTGGGGAACTCAGATTTGTCTGCTTGGAGATTACTCTGTTCTCAGATCTTTCCCCTGTTGCCAAATGTCTCCTGAACAGGAGAGAAAGAGGTGCTTCCGAGGGGTCTCCAAACTCACTCCCCTCTGGTTTATTCAGCTTTAGCTGTGTACAAGGCTCAGGAAGGGGCAGATTGGGTGGCCAAGGCTGCAGACCCTAAACACACAACGGTAACTCCCCCCAAATCATTTAATTTCTAGGGATCCAAACCTAGGACTGCATAATCCTAGGGATAAGCACGCACGCACGCACAGAGAGAGTATAGATTAAGGCTGTGCAATTGTAATCTAATCCTCATTTTCTGGGCAGGAGGTTCTGCATAACTTAGTTGCCCTTAACTTTCAAGAAAACTTTTCTCCGATCAGATTCCGAGTGGATCATAATAGCGGTTGAAGCTTGTAAGGGAGTTCTCTGTTAGATTCCTTTCTCTAAGCAAGTAGACGTTGAGTTGTTATGTATTGAGGTCAAAGACTTCTCGGGAGAGGGTCTATTTTCTGTCCCCAGGCCCCAAACTTTTTCGACAAAGGTTAGGAGAAACACTGGAGTGGGCGAGAGAGTCTAAAAGGAAAGCCGACAGAAGCAGAGAAGGACAAAGGGAGCAAACAAAAGGAGTGGCGGCAGAATTAAACAAATGGATTAATTTTTTTAAAAAATAAAATCTTTTGATTCCATCGTTATCACCATCATGACTTGCTTTGGGGGAGTCTTTTTGGAATGCAACCCCGTTCTGCCTTTTTAAGGTGAACATGGCTAAGATTTTTGCACTTCCCCCTTGGAGAATACGATCTACTATTTACTGTTTCCCTATTTATTCCTCTTTGCCATTCTCCCAGGACAGAATAGAGGATATCTACCCACCCCCCAAAAAATATTTTAAACTTTTTCCCCTAGAATGAGTGCAAAGGGTGCACATCCCACTTCCAGCTCATTAGAAATACCCACATGGTAGTAACAACTGTGAAAAAACTGCCCTTTGGGTTGAGTTCCTGATGCACCCAGACTTTTTTTCATGGTTTACTCAGAAGTAAGCCCCACTGGTCTTCTAAAGATGAACTGGAAACCAAGAAGTTTCCTTTAAAACTGACAGATATATATATTTTTTACACTGTGGGTTTTCCTGGATTACTGTCCACTTCCTCTGATGTATTTGAGGAAGAGGGAGGTCATGTCTCTAAGCTCCAGATACACAACGAAATCTGGCTGTTTCAAAGGTGACACAGAACACTCTCACATTTTAGTAGAACAGGTGAATGGGGTTACCGCACTGAAAACGGCATGGAAACTAAGTCTGTGATCCGACCTAAACTAAGTTTGGCAACTTATCTGAGCACAAGCTCCCCAGAAATGTTTGGGGTAAGGAGATATAGAGAATTGACCTGTTAGGTGGTTTAAGGTAGCATCCTGAAATAGGCATCTTCCCTTTGTTTTCACTCTGGAAGACTGTTTTTTTTTAATGCTTAAAACTCACACCGCTTTCCACCTCTCATGCTCACATGCTTCATAAACGACATTTCCCTGCCTCTTCAGGTTCAATGATCCCCATTTCTCAGACCCCCTGAGCCGTTCGGATGAGAATCCGCATCTCTTTTGTCTTACTGAGGCAAAGAATAAAGTTTGTCATCACTCAAAATGCAAAAATTCACACAGACATGCGGCAGATTTTTTTAAAAGGAGAAATAAACAGCATGGATTTATTATTATTATTATTTCTTTTTGAAGGAGTACAAACAATGAAGACCACACAAAAAACGACAAAGGTGACGTAGAATTCAAAAAGAGAAAATTTTTTGGTTGAATGATTGGTTCAGAGTGGAAACTTATTTTACAAAAAAAAGGAAAAAAAAGAAAACAAAGGAGACACTCTTGGTTTGCTCCTTATTCTTTCCTATTTTGAAAGTGTCAGATACTTTTAAAGCATGATTTCTTTTGTTTTTCTCTCCCTCCCTCCTCTCCATAAAAATTCAACTAGGGGGGAAAAATAAATTATTCATATACAAAAAGAGAGAGAGAGAGAGAGAGGAATATTTTTTTAAAAAAAAGGAAAAGGCTTTCTAAAAGCGTCTTTGTACACAGGAAGAGATGTATTGATTACGAATTCGGCAGCTGGACATAAGATGGACAACAGGGGAGAGGGTAAAAATGGGAATCCAGTGAACTCAACTTTAAATATTATATTAATGGCTCTTCAATAAGCCGGATTCGAAATCCACACATATTTACAACGCAATGAACTGAAACAATCCCCACCCGCCCCGCACTAGAAACAAATCCCAACACCAGAAGCCGGATTCGAAATCCACACATATTTACAAGGCAATGAATTGAAACAATCATCACCCGCCCCCCCACACTAAAAACAAATCCCAACATCAGAACATATATTTTTATATAGCGTATTTATAATTTTCCTCCCATTTCAAAAAAAAATTCCTATAAATGGTCATGGTGGAAGTCGGCGATCCACCCTAACTTTAGCCTCGTCTGAAACCGTCCTCGCCCAGACCTTTAGACGTCTTGCCACTGTCTTCGCTAAAAAATCTAGCCATTTTTAGTTTGCTTTTCTGTTTTGTTTTTAAATAAGCCCCCACCCCACCCCCGCCTTCTTCTTCTGTGTCGTTTTGCTTGCTTGTTTCAAGTAAAAATTAACTTGAAGGGCAAGAAGAGCGGGGACAGGATGAAAACGTGGTGTCCGAAAACCCGCTATCCCTTTTGCCCGAGTCTGTTTGTTTGTTTGAGTGAGAAGCGGCTGAATAAACAATAATATACAGGCACAGAGGGAGAGGGAGAGAAAAAAACTCAAAGCGAGATCCCTCCGGGGCAAAATAAAGTATTCGGCTAAAAGCCCCCCTTTCCGTGTGTGTGTCTGTCTGTCTTATCTGTCTGTCTTAAGAGGTGCAGGTCAATACTTAGTACAGTCGTAGGAATAAGGGGTGGTCGTGTGCCGGTATATAGAGGGCGCGGCTCGGTAAGGGATCTGGCAGGTGGAGTTACTGCTCACCTGTTGCTCGCCCAGGGCCGCCGCGGAGGTCTCGATGCCCAGCCGGTGGGTGTTGAACATTTCCCGGACGTTGGAGAAATTCTGCTGCTGAGCGCCGAAGGCGTGGCCCGGCAGGTGAGGGTTGATCTCAGGTGAGGTGTGGTTCAGGTACCACGAGGCAGCGGCGGCCGCGGCGGCGGCGGTGGCTTGCCCACCGGCTTGGTGGTGAGGCAGAGGCGGGTGGGGGTGATGGTGATGATGGTGGTGGTGGTGGTGGTGGCTGGGGGTGAGCGCGCCCTCTTGCTGCGGCCCGGGGGCCAAGTTCATGGTGGCCAAGGGCGAGGAGGAGGAGGAGGCGCCGTTGGCTTGCTGCTGCTGCTGCTGCTGCTCCGAGATGGAGGCCGTGGCTTCCTCCAGGGTGGTGGAGACGCACATGTGGGCGTTCCTCTCGCCCGTGTAGAGGCTCATGGCTCGCATGCTGCACTGGTAGCTGGCCCCGCCGTCCCCTAAGCCGCCTTGGCTGCAAGCCTGGCTGTAGATGGCCGGGGCTTGCGCCTCGGCGTAGCCCAGGGGCAACGAGGAGGAGGCCAGGCCGGCCGCCGCCCGGCTGACCGGGCTGAGCTCGCCGGCCGGCGAAGTCCGCAGCGTCATGATGTTCTCCACGCTGAACCCGGAGAGGCCGTTGCTGTTGCCGCCGCCCGAGGCCGGGTGGTGGTGGTGATGCGCGGGGTGGAGGGGATGGTGAGGGTGGTGGTGAGGGTGATGCCCGTCGCCCGGCAGCGAGTTCTCCGTGGACCCCGACGGGGTGGAGCCCACGCTCCGAGGGCTGTCCTGCAGGGCGCTGCCGCTCTCCGGGCTGAGCGTCTCCACCTTGGTGATGATGGGCAGGTCCGGGGAAGAGGCCTCGCTCTTGATGACCACCTTCTTCTCCGACGGGGCGGCCGCCGAAGAAGGCGCCGCGCCCGAGGACGAGGTGGAGGAAGAGGAGGAGGTGGAGGAAGAGGAGGAGGAAGAAGAGGAGGAAGAAGAAGAGGTCCCGGCGGGGTTGCTGGACGGCGCGTCCTTGGAGAGCTCGGCGGCCTTGGGGGCCTCCTTGAGGTACCTCTCCCGGGCGCTCTCCTCCTTCTCCTTGGAAGCGTCTTTCTTCTTGAAGCGCCTCCGACGGCGCAGGAAGCTCCCGTTCTCGAACATGTTGTAGGAATCCGGGTCGAGGGTCCAGTAGCTGCCTTTGCCGGGCTTCTTGTCGTCGCGGGGCACCTTGACGAAGCACTCGTTGAGCGAGAGGTTGTGGCGGATGGAGTTCTGCCAGCCCTGCTTGTTCTCCCGGTAGAAAGGGAAGCGGTCCATGATGAACTGGTAGATCCCGTTGAGGGTGATCTTCTTCTCCGGCGCGTTCTGGATGGCCATGGTGATCAAGGCGATGTAGCTGTAGGGCGGCTTCACCAGGTCCTTCGGGGCCGTGGGCTGGTGAGGGTGGTAGGGCCCGTAGGAGCGGCCCATGCCGGCCCCATACTGGTCCGGGTGGCCCGAGTAGACGCCCATGGAGCCGGCCATGCTGCCGTAAGTCCCCGCCGTCCGGTAGTAGTTCTGCTCGCTCAAGTAGGGTACCATTCCCAAGGCGTTGGGGTCCGACACGGAATAACGGGCCTGCATTTTTTTACCCCGTCGAGAAAGTAAAATCCCTTCCGCAAAAATGCAGAGCAAATCGATGCGAAGATCGCCAAGCAAGAGGAGAAGGTCCCCCCCCCCTCTGGCAAGGAACGGCCCTCCCGATCGCCGCCGCTCAAAACCAAAAGGCGAGCCTTCCCATGCCTCGGGCCGCTCCCCGTCCCTTTTCTGGCCGGCTCCCCCCTGCCAAACGGGCGAAGTGCGCCGGGCTCTCCTGCGGCTCCGTCCTTCTTGCCTCCCCTGCTCCCCTCCCCTGTTTGAGAAAGGACCGCGAGGGGGGTCGCCCTGAGGCCGGCGAAGGGAAGGTCCAAAGGCCGAGACACACGCGCATCGGCGTTCCCGCAGAGAAGAGGGACAAAAATCTTGCCACGGGGACGACGGGGGGGGGTGCGGGCAAAAAGTCACGCGTCAAAAGGAATCTGGCCAGAAAGGCGCTTAGCTGATGGCTCCCAAGCGCTACGACGCAACAGCAGCAGCAGCAGCAGCAGCGACCATCTCGTGGGTCCCGGGCGAAAGTGAAGCGGGGTGTAAACAAAAACAAGCCCTCC